GGTTCACACCATCGCACGGTCCTGCACAATGCAGGCAGCGATTGTCGCACTGCCCCATTGATTTCAATGGGGTGACATGCGCACTTCAATCGTAGAAAAAAGTTACAAGTACCTGTTTTTTTGGCGATACACGACGCACGGTAGGAAACCGGGCGATGCGCCCGGCACTACTGGGGTGCCATTAGAAAAAAGTGGCTCCCACAGCGCGATTGGTTCACACCTTGGCGACTCCTGACCGCGCGGAATTGTGCACGATTGCCGGGCGGTGAGGTGTCGCTTAGGTGTGAACCTAGCCTAAATCCGATGAACCTGAAAGAAAATCGTACAGACACAGGGAGAACACATGTGTAGGGGGTCTAGTGGGAAACAAACCCAGGATCCCAGTGCTCCAAGACCACAGTGCTCACCCCTGAACTAACACCCCAGGTACAAAAGAGGCCTCTATGGCAAAGAACTGCATTTACCAACTAATCTGTCTTGCTATTCGTAAGCCGGCGTCTAGCCTGTGAAATCTCTTATCTTGTTCTTTGAGGTATCAAGCTGTACCACGTTCCCATGCTTGGAATGCGGCCTTGTGTAGGAGCTGCCAACCCCTCCTCTGTACATATTTTTTTAAAAAGTCAGGGAGTGAATACTAGGCAGACCCCTCCGAGCATACGTTCATTTGTATTGCAGCCCTTTTATTATTGGGGTTTATGGACTAGCAATCCTTTCCAAATTGGCGTCTTAAGCCTGAACTCTACGTGAATACATTTCAAAGATAATGCAGATGTATTTACTATTGCACTTATGATTAATACATCATTAAATATATATATATATTTTTATTACAAGCAGTGTAAGCACCTGAATTTGTCCTTGTATCAGACTCTTGCAATCCCTGTATGGCAGGGCTGGAGTGTGAAGGGAAGAAGCAGCACAAGAAGCCAACCAGTTCTTTTGCTGACAAAAAACATACTGATAGGAGGAAAGAGCAGATTGACCGAGAGATGAGACCATCACTGTGCTGCTTCTACTATCGTGTCACAGGCTGGTAGTGGGCTCAGTTGATGACTTGGGCTTAGTGGAAACTGCTTGAACAATGCTTGCCATCAGGCTGAGCACATCTAAGAAAAGTAATGAGGGGGAGAAATCTCTAGATTAAAGCTGGTGCTCTAGCTTGGAGCCCACCATTTTATGGTAAGTTATATAGACTACATGGCCAAAAAAGTCTGTGGACACCCAGCCATCCCACCTATATCAGCCCCTCCTTCCAAGAAGTGGTTTATACAATGCTGGTCATACTGAGGACATCTAGCGGCAGAAGAAAAGTAACATGGGAAGAATCTCTGGATTAAAGCTGGTGCTCTAGTTAGGAGCCCACCATTTTTGTGGATGCAAAGGCTAATTATATAGACTACATGGCCAAAAAAGTTTGTGGACACCCAACCATCACACCTATACGAGATTGTTGGCACCCATTCCAAAATATGGAGTTGCCCCTCCTTTGCAGCTATAAACCGCTTTAAAAAGGAAGTGGCTTGTACAATGCTGGCCAGAATGAGGACATCTGGTGGCAGAAGAAAGGTACTGCGGGGGGCACGCCCCTCTGGATTGAAGGTGAACATTGCAACAAAGCTGGTTTTATTACTTCTCTTTCAAAGGGCTACTCATCTTTATCTTGTTATTTTTGCCTGCCGTTCTGCTACCACGCACCACTATAAGGGCTTGTTCACACCAATTGCGGTGCGTTCCAGAGCGGTAGCTGCTGGAACGCACCGCAATCGCTCAGAAAACTTCCACGTGCGTTCTGGGTCGGGAGGGGGCATAGTGGTGCATTGAAGTCAATGGCCCCCTGCCCACAGTGCGATCGGACGCGTGGCAAAATATTGCCTGCATTCCGTTCCACTGCAAACGCAAAAAAATGCTGTTTGCTCCTTTGCAATGTCTTGCCATGCGTCCGATCGCACTGCGGACCGGGGGGCATGCCATTTACTTCAATGCGCCGCCACGTCCCCTCCCGCCCCAGAACGCAGGGGGAAGTTTTCTGAGCCATTGCGGTGCGTTCCAGCAGCTACCGCTCTGGAATGCACCGCAATTGGTGTGAACAAGCCCTAACAAATACTGTATTCTGGTAATGGTATGCAGATAATACCTGTAACGGTAGCATTCAGAATATTTATTCATTTCTATGTATTTGTCCAGTTGTCCGGCAAAGGCAGCAGTGACAGGCTTTACCATGAACTACAATACTGCCAGGGGGACTGCAAGGTCACCTTTTCTTTACATGGGGGAAGATTTACTAAACAAGTACAGACTGTACAAAGTGAATGTTCGTAAATAACGTGTTCACTTTGAATTCCCAATCACATACGAGGGAAATCATTTAAAAAAAAAGCGAGAACATGATTGATTGAAGCGGCCAGATCGTCATCTTATGTACTTAGCTCAGCGAACATTCACTTTGCTATGTGAGCAGTTTCTATTCCTTTAGTGAATCAACTTACAAAACAATCTGCACTACTACTAGTGTTTTAGTTTGTCCGAAGCTTCATTCTTTTTTAACGTCCGCTCACATCAAACATTATATGTTGGCAGTGGTGTGGCTCCGGTGGAAATCTCTCTTTATACACTAACATGTGTTTATCAGACATCTTCTACGCATGCTGCACATACTGTACACACAGGAGTACGCAGGGCTTATGTATTAACACGTGAAGCCAGGATGTTTACAGCCATCAGCAGTTTAAGTCGCATGGACATCATCACAGGGTCCCCGAGGGCTCTCTCTCCTTTGTGTGTCATTAGAGAGATTCAACCTCGTCATTTGTCCTGGCGACTGTATGCCCGGAAATTGAAAGAAAATATCACATTTCGGGTTGCCATCAGACCAGGAAGAGATTGGAAATCTTCCAATGTGGACACCTGTTGTGTTGAACCCATCAGGGATTTCAATCACTTTGGAGGGATTCCAAAATTGATGGAAATCCCTGATGGGTTTAACACAACTAGTGTCCCTATTGGAAGATTTCCAATCTATTCCTCGCTTCCTGTAGCAGCTTTCCGACAGAAAGTGAAGGGAAAACTCCCCAATGGGTTTATATTAACTCTTGAAAATGTAAATACCCCGATACTGCCACATTGTAATACATATGACGTGGCAGTATCAGGATGTTTACAATTTGAAAAGCCAGCTTTGGGCTGCCCAATCACTTCTACATGTAGCAGAAGGTGCTGCCTCCCCCCGGCCATATGTCCGGGGCTCACCTGTCACTTCTGGGTACCCGGGTCCTGGCTGGCTGGTGTCAGGATGGAGAGTTGCAGGAGAGCAGTAAACGTCCGCTGATCTCCCCCTTTGTAGTATGAACCTGGAAGCGCTCAGCTTTGAGCACTACGGGGTTTGCAGCGGTCAAACCCCAGCCACTAAGCTAATTGAGAGCACACTGTATCCGATCAGCTTCAACAGAGTGCAGAGGTGACACCTGGGGTCTAATCAAGCCCTGATGTCTCCTTAAAGAGAATCTGTCACCTGCACTGTGCTATCACACAGGGGGGACTTGTCAGCCTTTTAACATCCAAAGCTAATAAATAAAACCATGGAAAATTTGAGAAGAGCAGCAGGTAAAAATCATACAACACAGCAGCTCCACACAATGATCATCAAATCCCATTACCCCAGCCAAGCTTGGCTGAAAAGGAAGAAACAGAGCGGATTGTGCTGATGAATCAACCTTCTCTCCCGCCTCCTGTTTGTCACCAGTCTGGAAAGAGAACAGTGGAAAGGTTTCTGTCCCTCCCAAAAACAACACAGATGTACAGACAGCAACACAATACACGTGCGCCAGGCACTAATACCGTGTATTGTAAACACTATGATGTAACGCCTCTCTGAACCTGACATATAGAGATATGTTAAAGTGTATGCAATACCTAACACCGAACTCATCTAACGTCATCTCTTTAGGTCTGTTAAATTCATCATCCAAAGTGTTGTTATATCGGTTTACGTGCATAACAAATACCTGTGGATCATGTCAGAAATCTTGTCCGCTAATACTTTCCTGTGCTCTCTGCCGGCTGTTATCAGTTAGCATTGGTCTTAGCTCTCTATGGCAGGGGTAGGCAACCTTTGCCCTCCAGCTGTGCTGAAACTACAAATCCCATCATGCCTCTGCCTCTGGGAGTCATGCCTGTGGTTTGCAATGCCTTACGGGATTTGTAGTTTCAGCACAGCTGGAGAGCCAAGGTTGCCTACCCCTGCTCTATAGGGACAATAGGGGAAAAAAAGCCCTGGGTGCAATACTCACCCTTAACCCCTACAGTACCTCTCCCTTGCCACCAGATGTCCTCAGTCCAAACCCGGAAGACAGACTGCAGGGCGTCATGGCCCTGCCCCTAAGCATGGTGGATTGCTGCAAAGATTGGTGCTCGTCTTTGTATTATCCAGAACTGCACAATGCCTCGAAAAGACCAAAGGGTACCCTGCATGTCATGTGACCAGCCATAGGAGATCAGAGTTTCAAAAAAAAAAAAAACATACCGCTGGGGATGTACATAGCAGGAAGCCTAGAGTCAACCTTTACTCACCTTCATTGCCTCCCTAACCCTTCAGTCGTCGGAAGCAAGAGCTGTAGCCCTATGTAGGCTCCATATTGCCACTTGACTCCCTTCCCACCCCCAGTGAGTAACATGCACCCCCATACCCTGATGTACCAGGTAGATTACGTCACTCCCAGCAGCAGAAAGGAGCAGTGTGGCACCAAAAGTAATGGGTAGTATAATTTGCTGGTGGGCACTGTCTGTACAGGTTCTCTTTAAATCCTCATCTCTCGTCATTACATTCAACTTTCACTTTAGATTCAAGAGATTTCACAGTCCACTTGTACTCCTGATGTCCACCGCATGTCCACCTAAACGTGATAGTTCAGGCTAGTGTACAGCACATTTTTATAATCCAACAGCACACCAGATAAGAACATTGTACAGATAATACAGAGACATACTTCCAGCTGGTCACTCACCTCTAGAAGGTCATTACTTAATACTTCTGTCTTCTCGGCTCTGCAAGAAAGATGATAAGTGGTCAGTGCATTCCCGCTAAGAGTTGGCCTGTTCAGAATCAATGCAGCATAGAAAATAAATCACCAAAATAAGAACCTATCTATGAAAGTGGGCCTGTCATTTACACAGAACAGTGGGCCGAAGAGAACCTGTTGCCAAGTTTAACATAAAATGATGCAGATAATGATCACCCCAAGTACCTCTTCTGCGGTAACCTGGTGTCAATGTCTACACAAGATGGCACCATCTTGCCTGGCTCTCATCCAAAACAGTCTCCCTACTTCCTTTACCTGGGATGTTCACATGACAGATTGAGCAGTGTCCTCCATTAATGAGTGAACTGCTGCCCAGAGGAGAAGCCACATAAGATATTGCAGGTGGAGGTGTGTAGAGAAGGATTAAACCCGTGTCAGTTTATTGTTTGTTGTCTGTGTCCAGTTGAGAGAATTCTCATTGGTTTAGTGCAACAGCAAGCTGTAAAAAGCGGTGGAAATTCCCCTTTTCAATAGTTGTCCCGAAACAGGTGTCCCCATTTGAAGATTTCCTGTTACCTCATTTGTGGTGACAACTGTAGAGTTGGAATTTCCTGTGACCATAGAGATAAAATCATAACATGGGTTCTAATCTCTCCTTAAAAAAAATTAAACAATTGAACGCAAAATTTATCAACTGTCGGGCTAACTCTTAAGCTGCAAGTATGCATTATTTTGCATGCTTACCACAGTCCAGCTTGGGCCTATATAAGTATGCATGTACCATACCTGATCAGCCCACTAGGGGTGCTATAAAACACTGTAGGAGCGAATACCCTGTTTCCCCAAAAATAAGACCTACCCCAAAAATAAGACCTAGTTCTATTTTTGGGAATTGATAAAATATAAGACCTACCCCGAAAATAAGACCTAGTCGTGACCATTCCCAGGGCCGGTGGTGGCATAAGGGGGAACCCGAAGAGCCGTGGGAGAGAAAGTGTGTTTTTCTTTGAGCCAAAAAAAAATATAAGACAGTGTCTTATTTTCGGGGAAACACGGTACAGCGCTGGCTGAGATCTTCCGGGTCCTGTATGGCGCTGTGCAGAGAGGCTTCCCCTCTCTTCTGAAAACACATGGAAGGGAATTTATCAGGACTGGAGCAGACGAAATCTGGAGCAGCTGTGCATGGCAACCAATCAGCTTCTCACTTCAGTTTGTTCATTTGAAAATTGGAAATGAGAGAGAAGACAATTGGTTGCCATGCACAGCTGCTCCAGATTTTGTTCCCCCCATGGAGTCACGCGCTCAGCACAGCCGCCATTAAGAGACCAACTTTTTATCGATGAATACAAGGAGTTCTCTGTGACATCAGGATCTGCCCCTGGTCCAATCAGAGAACCCATAAGATGTTATCAATGTATACAAAGTGTTCCTTGATTGAATGAGGGGCAGATTGTGATTCTGATTCATTGATAAAAATCCAAGGGGGGTTCTCCGATTGGATGAATAGCAGATCATGCCATGACAATCAGAGAACACCTTGTATTCAATGCTAAAAATATTAGGTGTTACCTACAGGCCCCCCCACCTCCATGGGCCAACCAGGTATGACATATGCATACTTACATTCAGCCAATCTGGATCAAAGTAAGCATGCATAATACTTTATACCTGGAGTTCGGGCTTTAATAAAAGACTGCGAGTGTTCTGACAGAAGCATGTTCGCTGTGCTTATAGGACACTGCCTCAAATTTTTTGCCAATTAAGATACTTTAGTATTTGGAACCAAGAAAAAAGGTCACATCAGCTGTTTACAAGTTTTTTGTTCTTTTTGTCTTTATAACAACATGAGGCTTTGACCCTTTCACACGGGCGCCGTTTCTCCACCTCAGCAGGGGATCCTAGACGGATCAGAACAAAAATGGATGTTCCGAATCAATTCCAATTTTTCATCCATTTTGGGATGGAGAAAAAAAACAAAAAAAACAAAAAAAAAAACAGACCCACATGATCACTATGGGCAGCCGGATGTAAACAGATATTTGTCCTCCTACATCTGCCCACATCGGGTCAGGTCAGTAAAAGTTCAAAAAACATACAGACCCATTGCACTCCTGAGCGGATAGAAAACCCAAACTGTAGGGTGGGTGCTGAAATGACCGCGGATGCCTCCGCAGAATAAATCCAGAAAATTCAAAAAAGGTCACAAGCACTCCGGCATGTAGAAAAGTCAATGTTTATTGACTTCACATGTGTCACATCAGAGCGACGTTTGAGAACAGCAAAGTCCCTTCCTAAGTCAAAACATATAATCTCTGGGTGCAAACTTTTTGTGTTCGGTCCGACAAACCTAACCGGACCCGGAAGTGGGCAGATACAGGTAGACGTTCACATCCCGCTGGTCGTGGGTATGTATTGTAGTAATTGCGTAATCACAGACTGGCTGAACGCCTGTGCAGGGACCATAGAGTCGGGGTACGGTTGGGCCCAAGTGAGGGGTTAGGCTCAGGACAATGGAAAGTTACCGAGTTGTCTTACATTTTCATGCACGATACAGATTTCCAATTCTATATTTGTAGCGCCAAGCTCATACGCGCCACAGCAATATTTTTGCAACTAAGAATACTGGACAGTTCTCATCAGCATGCACATCCCCAGAGAGGAGCGGCAGACGTACATTTAGTAATGCTGGTAGTAGTAGTTCCTCGACGTCCAATAGACAACAGATAGCTCATGAACAGTAACGTGAGCTCAGGCCCTGTCAGCTTTATCTGATATCTAAGTTTCTCAGCTGCTCGAAATGTTTTACGCAGCTATTTGTGACCGTACAGGAATTTCGCACAAGGTCGCCGACGAGGCGTAACCTGAATTTCAGGTTTGGTGGTCCTTTGCAGAAAGCTCCCGAGGAAAAAAAGCCAAGCTGGCAAAGGTGAAGGCCTAACTGCTCAACATGGCCGCTGCAGCACTTCCTGTCCACATTCCAGTCCTGTGACAAATGAGCCATTACCTACATGTGAAGTAGTTGGAGCAGGCCGAGAGGGCGGGTGAGGGAGGATGCAGGAAAGTTTCTCACACACATATTAGATTTCTGACAAGGCCTCGCTGTTTATTTATAATGCATGAGTTGTGTCACAGCTTTTTTTTTTTCCCAAGGAAGGGCGCTCGGGGTACCATGACGAGGGGAGGAGCCTCCTTGGCTGTGACACGCATCCCGCCTGGATCGCTGAGCTGACAAAAGAGGAATCTGCGGTATTTAAAAATCAGCCTCCTGGGACAAGTCCAGGCATTGGGGTAACCCATCCTTCACTGTAAACAAGAACTCCACAAACTGTAATAAATGACAATGCACCTTACATAATGTGCGTCCTGTGTCATAAAACAATAAATGGCATTCCCTCGCTCAGTTATGGATTTCATTGTTGAAGAAATAAGCTTAACCCCTTCAAGGAACGCATTGGAATTAAACCGTGTCTTTTCTTTTTTTGGTGCCCATTTATACTTTTGTATCGCTTTAAAGACCCAAAGTACAGAAAAATACTCATCCAAAATGCACTCGGCTCTTAAAGCGGATCTTTACCCCCTTTCACAAAAAATCACCTCCGCATGCGGATATGAAATCATCTTACATTCATTAAACATATTTTTATTTTATTTACAATTACTCCTTATTCACTTCCTGGTCCTCTTTGGCATTAGTGATGTAATGTGCCCAAGCATTGCACACTGGGAAGGTTACATCAGCAGAGCATTGCTGGGAAATCTCATTTGTAATCACGAGATCTCAGGGAAAGGCATTTTCCTCCCCAGAGATGGTCACATGTCCTAGTCACATGTGCCAGAGTTCCAGGAAATAAAGGGAGACCTAGTAACCTGCCCTTAGTTTAAAAAAAGGCCACTGTGAGAAGACTGGGGAGGAAAAGAAAAATAAGGTAAGCAAAGAATACAAATCTGCCAATTATCTATAAGTATCTGTTTGTAGGTTGTCAACACTAAACATTTATAATGGCGTGTTTGTTGTCAATTCAAAGATATGGGTAAAGTTCCTCTAAGTCCTGTTGTGGACTGATAACACACAGCGCTTTTATGCGATGGAGTAGTGTCAGCCCTGCCCTGTTGTCTTTTGCTAAACTACTCACCCACCCCTACTCTCAGATCTCTAAAACATAAAAGGCAAAACATTCTGTTGTCCAAGATGAGAACCAGGAGGGCTTTTTGAGATAACGCAGGAAGTAAGGAGAGTACACAGCACAACAACAACAAATTTTTGAAACAAAGGACGTTTTTGTTATTTTCTTTGCATTTATCAAACTCATAGAGCAAAATACTGCAAATTTTATATATAAAAAGGCCAAAAGGGGAGCAGATAGGAGACGTTCATTGTTAGGGTTTACATACACTTTAAAGTAGAAGGAAAGGCTCATTTACAAACTGACATTTATAGATTCCCTCCCCTTTTTTTCTACTATAGCTCTGCATACATTTTATCAGAATTACCTTTATTTAGCTTTTTTTAATTTTCCAATGTGGTCATGTGACTGCTATGCTCTGGCTCTTCTCTGTTATGTGGAGGGTCAACAACGGGGATGAAATTCCTAAAGCTGGGTATACACTGTTACATTTGTTTTATTCAACCTGCGGGCTGAAAAAAGAAAACAACAGCTTCCTCTATCAACACTTCCGAGCATGGATGCTCGCCGGCCGCTGTCAAAAAACCCAAATGTTGGCCCAACATTCTTCTGCTTCTAATTAATTGCATAGCACCTCATTGTTGGCGCTTGATGAGGTAGCAACAATTAAGAAGATAGCAACCCATTTAACTTAAACAGCACTTGAAGAGCCTCAACGCACAATAAAATGGAACCCGCACTTCTTTTGTACAACACAACATGCCACAATGTACATACAAGGGCGAGTCAGACACCCATGTAGTACCTGTTGTTTCTGGGTATCACTGTGCATGTGACTTGATCCCCCTTACCCATGTGACAGCACCTTCTCATTGATCCAGCACCATCATATGGAAGTCTA